CATGATGTAATTTTCTGATGGAGTTCTTTGACTGTAGCTGAGGGATAGTGCGAATGCGTGACAGTAGCGAAAGCTCCGCGAATATCTCATACACACACAATCCATCTATTTTGGTTGAACGATTTTTTTCCATCATCCATAAAATATTTCGCCACCCTCTCGCGGCTTGGGATGCTTGAAGCGGGCTCTCGGCTTTGGCGTCCCTTCGCATGATCTCGGTGGGAAGCGACTGTGGGTGGGAATCAATGGAATAAATCAAAAAATCCATACAGTTAGACACACAAAACCATGATCCGATGATGCTTTCGTGTGTCGATGAGGAAAAATATTCTCAGAGACAGCAATGCTGGAAAATACGAGAGGACGATGGGGAGTAGAATTTGCCATCATCCTTCAAGCACAAAAGGGAGGAAAAATCTATGCGAAATCTGTACATCGAAGGCTGATAACTTTCGTGGGATGCTCTTTGGCGCTTCTTCCAACGAAATAGCTTCGATAATTGTGGTAAATTTTCCTGCTACACATATTCAATCCTTCGGTTAATTTTTAAGATAATAACTTGAGTATAAATTTGCATCGCAGCTCCTTTTCTATCCTTTGCAATATTCCTCTGTTGGAAGATGAGATTGAGCAAAAGTGAACAAGGGAAAATTGGGTGGGTTGAGCTTCTCTTTATTTTATATTCTTTCGCATGGGTGCAGAGCTTTTCACCCTATCATTCCTGTGACATATTTTGTCTCATTCACTCCGCCGTGACATATCTTTTTTGCTGCGTGCGACATCCGAAGCCACCGTCCATCCGGACATGATGGAATGGAAAGTAGCCGGGCAGCATATAAAAGTCTCGAGGGATCGAGGGCCGGAGCATCGTGTGTGAGAGTGAAATGTGATAGACAAAGATATAGTTGATTGCATATAGTCGAGAGAGGGGTTGCGAGGCTGGACAAGATTCGATATGGGGATGCCTTTTTATATTCCATCGGTATTATATTTCACACTCACACTGAATGTGTGTGCGCCAGAGCTCCCAAATAAACCCCATATTCGGCTATTTTTTGTCAATGGCATTTTCTATTTTATTTCTCTGGCCATTCGGGGGTGTCCTCTTTTGATGTATTCACCCCTCAACACTATATTTCACCCTTCGAGGGACTTTTATTGCCGCTAAAGTGAAATGTGTTTTCAAATTGCTTTCTATTTTGACTTTATGGTCAGTATGGTGAGCTCGTGTGGATCACAAGGAGAATTCCCACCGAAATCTCTCGACATTTCTTCACTCTTCTGTGGGTGGCAAGCTTGACAATTAATAAAATCATGCAATTCTTCTCACTTATGTTCACAATTCATCACGAAGCCCGATCATCTTGTTTGGCTGGGGGTGAATTTATGCAAAATGAGATTGATGGCTGAGAGTGGGTGTGAGAAAAGCACGGTGGATATTTGTGTGTGTGTGTGTGGGTGATATTTAACAAATTACCAACGAGAACATTTTCCCATTGTGTGAGCATGAAATTGCACACAAATTCCTCCCTCTTGAAACATTCTCGTGATTTGTCTGACAATGTGAGAAAGTGCTCCGCTAATAAATTTCCCACCTTTTCCTTTTCCACCCACCACAATCACCGTTTTGTACCCATCCATTTTCCAACCTCGTGAATGTGTCTTTCATCCCACCCCGAGTGCGCCACGGGGTGATTTTCCGCACGCCCGGGGGTGAGTTACTCAATGAATTTTCACCAGTTAATTCACCCCATCTGAGATGGTTTGGGGGTGGTATTTTTATTCAGCGAATATATGGGGAGATTAGGAAATTAGTGTGTGTGTGCTTGGGTCTGATGAAATGAAATTGTTTAAGGGCGTATGAATTGCTTTTGATAGCATAAAAGGCACACATATAGTATACTCACACGAGTTGCGCCCTAATGATGGATACAGGCGCGCGATGGGGTTGAGGGGGAATGTTGAATTTTCGAGTGATGCTCACAAAACCCACCCAGTATCGTAATGTGTGTTTACAGCGTGTAATATATTAATTAACTGAACAGCTGCTCCGCTGGGAAATCGGATTAGGATACCACCACTGCCATATGATATAGTAAAAACTCACCCTCGCTGCCGAGTACACATCCGACAGGTAATAATATTGCCGGAGGGCGATTTATTTGACGGTGGAGAGAGATTGCTGGGGTGCTTTTCCTGCTCCTGTGACTCGTGCTGTGAATTGGTGGTGAAACAGGAAGAGTAATTTGATGATCAGAATGGGAGTAAAAGTCAATCACAAATACTCTGACGGTTCATTGTTTGGAATCACTTCAGTTGGTTCATATTTTTCTGTATACAAAAGGAAATCCATACAGAAGCTTTCAAAGCAAGTGAATTTTAGCAATTCAGTAGCGACATAGACGAAGAATGTTTTCAAGCAACGTTGCACGCGAAATCCTTTCTTTCTTGAAGTTTGTTGACTAATTCATGCAAATTTCGCCGAAGTAGAATGGTGAAAATTATACGAAGCGAAGTGAGGTGTTAGGTTAAACTGAAGCGATGAAAAGTTTAGAGTGTTTCACACCCCTTGCTCTCTCTGCGCCACATTCGTTTTCCTCAGTGAGCTGGAATATGGTGTAATTTTATGGGGAAAATTTTAATAATCTCCGGAATAATTAGTGTACAAGGGTTGCCTCCCAACCACTCTTTGTTGCTATATAATAAATTCTTGTGAATTTTGCAACTTCCAAATAGTCTTATTAATTATTCTATTTTCCACCTCAGACCATGTGAGGTATTATCACGTTATTATCTTGACCAAAGAGAGAGAGAGAGTGAGTGGGTGGGTGGCGGGAAGTGGGCGAAAATGGATGTTGGCGTGTGTGTGGTGTGGGAAAACTGTCAGAGATAGGGTTAAATTGAAGTGGTAAGTCCGAAGTGTGAGTCTGCATCCTGTGGGGTTGGCTGAGGAATGGTTTTATGTCTGTTTTTAAATGGGTGGGGGAGACAAGGTGGCGTGTGGGTGAGATGAGGGCAAAACCTCAGAAACCCATCATCGTTTTACAGAGCAAGGACGAGGTATGTGGTCAGTGTGTAAGTGTGGTTTTCACCCTGTATATGGTGTAGGACAACATCGTAAGTGAAACATCCCTCTTGGCTCTTTAACCTCCAATTCACCATCCAAAAGTCACCCACCACTTGTGTCGTATGGGTGAAATTGAGTTAGTTCACATACACGGTGAATTCATGTTTCCTCTCTCTCTCTCTCTGGCTCTCGCTCCATGGCGATGCTCCTGCAGACACCCTGTCAGTGTCAAGGGGGGTCTGGAAGGGGGCGAATTGGAGAGTATCGCTGGGAGAGTTATCTCTCTGCTTTTTTTCTCCGGAATGGGACATATGTTTATCTCTCTTTGTCCTCTCTTCGGGCGGCGAGAGAGGAGGAGGCTAAGCTGTTGTGGGATTGAGTTTTTCATCCCCTCTGTCTCTCTCTCTTGGGGTTGCGAGAGAGTGAGAGCGAGAGAACGAGAGCGTGAGAGAGTGAGCGAGAGAGAGAGAGTGAGATGGGTCGGAAAATTGTATGCGGGGAGAAGTGGAATATGTACACAGTGTGGCTGAATGCTGGTGGCTGGATGTGTATAGCTTAAATAGGGGATGATTGTGGGTTCACAGATTATATACCCTCGCACTGTCTCTCTCTGTCCGACAGGCAGCAGTATCGCTCTTCCGCTCTCTCCTGTGGTGGCAAACGGTGGCGATGGCAGAAGTGGATGATGCACAGTGTGCATTGGGGTTTGGGCAAATTGAACCTTCTCCCCCGGCTCGACTGTGTACAATTTTCTCTCTTGGCACACAGACACATCGTGCGGTGGCTTTTCTGTAGCAAAAGAGCGCCAACATAATGAAGTTTCCTTCAGTTTAGAGTTGAGGGATGAACGGATAAGGATGTGTTTCCACCCTGTGCACGTTCTCTGGTCTCGCTGTTGAGATTCTTTGGGCGGACTGAGACACATTCCATTGAGTGTGAGATGCTGAGTAGAGATACAAGGCATTCAATGATACTGAAGTGCTTCGGAGTGTTGTGTCTTGTGCGGGGATACAAGAGTGCTAAATGTACTCTTGGTCACTGTGAATCACATTAAGAATCTGGTTTGTGAGTGCGAGTGAGGCAAAGAGACGCTTTTTCTGCCATATCGTGGAGAAATGGAAAGTAAAATTCATGGATTTTTACTTAGGCGAGAGAAAGAAGGGCACAGCGCGTCTTCAATTAAAATATTAAGTGGGGAAAAAGTTTTTTCCGCGGCCAACGGAAAGGGGGAGGGGTTGAAGTCGCGGGAAAGGTGATGCTGTGGGGGTGGTTTTATGGCAAACAGGGGCGACTCTCTTCCATTAAATTAATTAAACCGAAGTGTAATTTATTCAGCGCGAGCGAATGAGATGGTGAATTTAGTGACGGTGAATTCTTTCTCTACACCCGCGAAACCGCCCACACTCCGCGTGTGCTTGGTTATTTGTGAGGACAACTCTTGAGAGTTTTCCCGGCGCTGTACATTTGCATATAGTGAAAGGCGAGAGGCGCCCACTTGAGGGTGGAAATTGGAATTTTCCACAAGGGAGCAAAAGACACTCTTCCCCGAGGGGGTGGTGTGTGGACCATAAGTTGATCGTTCACCACAGAAAACGTGCAAATAGAAAAGGGAGCAAATAATAATGGTGTGCTGAGGGTTGATGAGGTGTGTGGGGCGTGGGGAGAGGGGTTGGAAAAGTTGCTGTTTGTGTTGGAGGGGTAATTGTTGAGTAATTTCTTCACTGTGGAGGAAGCGTGTTAATTAAATCGTGAGCAGAAAAAATCACCCCAAAGCGGATGGGGTGGGGGCGAAGTTTCTTCCGTCCGCCTTGATATAATGTAGAGATTAAGTGGAAATGATGGGTACAGAACCGAGGAGGATGGTTTAAATTAACATTTTCCCCCATCGCGCAGTGAATTTTCCTCCACTCATCTTGTGATTTTCTCCTTACAGGGACCACCGCCTCAAGGACCCATAAAATTCACAATAGCCGACACACTGGAGCGGATAAAGGAGGAATTTAATTTTCTACAAGCACAATATCACACGTAAGTGAAGTCAGAATATATAAACACTGGCCATGCATTTAGTGTGTTGGGGGAGGGGGGAAAAAGAAAGTCTCATGAGCACCACAGTTGGCAAACATTTCGCCTTGCAAGTGATCTCAATATGGCAAGAATCTCAACATCAACCACAATTTACAACTTTATTTCTTATGTTCACACCATGCATTTCCCTTTTATTCTACATCTACACTTCTTTTTCTCTTATTCACAATTCCACCAAAGCCTTTTTCTCACCATCGAGAATAGATGTACACGATATATACAAATTGTGGTGTGATGAAGGCGAACGTGAAGAGATGGAAAAGACAAAAGAAGAACGGTGATGTTGAAGTGAAATATAATAGTAAAATTGGTCTGGTGCAATATATAAAATGGGGGGACGCTTGACTTAACTTTATTATTCACGCTTCGTTTTTTGATTTATGTTACCTAATGTTATGGCTAATTCACTGTTTTGTCTAATTTTCTAATAAATTACAGATTGAAATTGGAATGTGAGAAATTGGCTGGCGAGAAGACAGAGATGCAGAGGCATTATGTTATGGTGAGTGCAAATTTATACTATACAATATTTCTCTAAATTCTACCAGCTATGGTAGGATTTCTTCCTTTCAAAATTATTAATCCATGTTGGGTTAGTTTTTACACAGTTTTGCCTCTGCAGTTGTTCAAATAATTTTGAGATTTTTAGTGCAGAAAGCAAAATAACTTTTTTCTGTTGAATTTTTCCCTAGATTTGGGGTGTGTATGTGTGGAAAAAGTGTATTGAAAACTGTGTGAATTTACCAAAATGTGTACCATGGAGGAAATATGAAATTTTCAATAAAATACAAACACACGGAATGGAATTGAAAAAATATTCACGGAGGGAAAATTCGCGGAGAAAATCCCGAATTTTTTTTGTCCTCCATGCGCGAACTATTCTCCGCGTTTAAATATAATACTGAGCGAGAGTAGATGGTGAAAATGTGGAGGGGGAGGGAGGGGTTGGAGGTCTGTGTGTGTGTACTTTTCCGGGGGGTTTGGTTACCTCTCGCGCGTTTGAATAAAAACGAAGTATAGATAGAGAGCAAATGTTTTATGCAATTCCATTCTGTGGCTGTGTAGGATGGAATACCAAATTTTCTCAGTCTTCCCGCACATTCACTATTTTCCGACCAACCCTTCTCTCATATCCCAGGCTGCAATGTCAAATTTTTCCAGGCACTTTTCCTCCCATGGCTCTGTATAACATTTGCTCGTGCAAGAGATACAATGAGAGTGAAAAGTTGCTGGGAAATTGTACTCTATGTATGCATAGACATTTTCCTCCACGAGAAAAGTCACATATAGTGGTTTTTTTTTTTTCTCTCTCCTCCCCATTCTGCTATTGTACAGCTAGATGGTGGATTCCGACCCATCCAGAGGGAAACTGAACAGAAGTGTTGCATTTCATGGATGGAAAGTTGACAAATAACATGTGCGGTTGTGGAGACACTGAGGAGGGGATGATAGTATGTGTAGCACAAGGGGGAGAACTGTCTGCAGGACTTTTGCTGCAATTAATAGGAGCATGACTCTACAGTGAAGGAAATGAGGGTGAAATAACTTTACGTGGAAGTTTGAAGCATTTTGCAGTTAATTGTTCAGATTTCTAACCCAATTTTATTACTTGATGTGATATAATATTTGAGAAATATTTGACAGAAATTACACCCCTTCAAATGCTCTCTCATGGGAAATATGGCAAAATAGGTATTCTATTCGTGGGATAAATGCGACTTATTCAGGCGCGAAGCTCCGTGTAATTTCTTAATACAGCTGAAGAGACTTGAAATTGCGCGTGGGCGGAAGGATTGCGCGCAGTTTTGAAATGAAATGACCACAATCGTGGGTGGGGGTGGCGCGTGTTGGACACGTGGGCTCTCTTCTGCACAATATAATTGCCACTAACACAATAATCAACGGAGGACGCGTGCTGAGGGTGAGCAATCATGTTGATTAATTCAGAAAAACACACGTCGATTTCCTCAGCAGCGAAACGCGCTGCAGTTTTTGAAGAGGGTGTGTGTTGTGCACGATGAAAATGTAGATGACAATGAGGAATGACAAGAGCTTGGGTGGTCGTGTGCTGAGGATTAATTTAATGACAATAAATGTGTCTCCTCTTTTGCACAAGATGTGCCCCACAGGCGTTAGAGGACAAGATTTACTTGGTAATTTTCACACAAGAGAACAACACAATAACTCCTCATTCTCGTTGGCCTCTCGACTCCCACTCTGGGGGATCTCAATTTGGGTGTAATTCCTTAAAGAGAAGGAGAGAGAGAGAGATGAGGAGGTGTGTCTGTGTGCAACGTCGATGGATTGTGAAAAAGAAGTGAAAAAGAAGGGAAGCACACACGAAAGGAAGAGAGATGGCAATAATAAAAATCAATTTGATATCTGAATACATTAAAAATAATTTAATATTCGGTCACGGATCGATTATCTGCGTGTGATTTGTATCGTCATCATCATTTTGTTGTGATTTTATGGGTTATCTCCTCTTATTCTATCACGTGCTTCTTCTGCACTCTTTCCCTCCGTCATTATACGCTATTTCCCCGTGGGACAAACGAAGCGCGGCCAGCAACGCGTTCGACTGTAATGTTTTATGATTATGATATGATCATGGATCTTGGCAATAAAGCCAACAATCATTTCTGTGAGAGCGAGATGGGGAGAGATCAAGAGGACTACAAAAGATGAGAAACAACACACTGCATAAAGAATATTTAATAATCATGAGAGATGAGGAGTGAAGAGAGATGAAAAAATGATTCTGACACTGCAAAATTTGTGCCTTCACTCGAGCACACGATCGTGTGTAGATAATATTTTACTCATGGATAATGAAATTTTAAGATTTATCTATCACTTCCCGATCACGTCGGTGCTTTTTTTCAGTATGTAATTTCTCGACTTGGACGGCTTTATCGATGTTTGTTTAGTATTTATTTTCTCAGGCAATTATCTTGTGAACTGGTGTGAGTTTTTATCGCGTTTTAAGTTGATAAAGTCATATTGTTGCGTGCATTTGTGAATTTTGGGTCAATTTTTTTGTTGCTGCTAATGTGAAGAGACGGTGATAAATTTTTGTGGGGTTCTTTCCGCCCACTTTTGGTGCAACCCTTCAAGTTTGTAATGTGGAATTTCTATGAGAGCAGAAGAATGACATTTTGCGGTGGGAATGACAAGAGTTGCCAACAATCTGGCGAGAGCGAGGAAAAGAGAGAGAGAGCAGAAGAAGATGGAGCAAGAAATGGGAAACCTTTCTCAAGTGTCTTTTATCACCCTCGTGCTCGGAGAGACAGAGTGGAGACAGGGAGCGATGGCAAGTCGGTATGAATGTGCAATAGATTTACACACCAGACATTGTTGTAGGTATAATAATCATCATATTGTCGTGATATTCTCTTGCTATTTGCTCACTTCATAATAACCAGATACGACGACGATGCTGATGACGTGGGCGGGCGAGGGTTGGGGGTGTAAACGGCGGTGGAATGTGGTTGGGAAGAGAGGGTCACAGAGCTCCGGTGTGGGTGGAGAGGATTGTGTGATGTTGCAGGAGCTTTTCACATGCCACGAGAAGGCGGAGCGCTGGGTGTGGGGGGTGGAAATGTGCTGGGAGCGGGCATAACTGAGAATTCCGGAAAATCGTGAAATGAATGTGGAGTATTATTATGCCATTTTCTGTATGGCACAGCATCACTTCATTGGTGTAAAGCTCCAAAGGCTGGGGCTGGGGTGCTTTTGTGCACGATGGAGCTCTGGTATGTGGTGTCGAATTGAATTGCAGTGTGTTTGGTGCAATGTGAGATGCAAGGTGAGGAGAAAAGCGCTGTATGGTTGACTCAAGCTCACACAAAGTTGACTGCAATTGCACTCACAGGAGGGAGTGATATTCTCAAATTACCACCGGAATATATACTGCGCTCTGTAGTCAGACCTCACCCAAACCCCAAGCACTGGATGAGGTGCTGAAGAAGAGTCTGGGAGAAACTATAGGGTGGAAAATGATAAAGTGGCTCCATGGTGTGTGTGTGTGTGCGGTTGTGCCAAGGCAAGTGCGGGCAGATACTCGAGTGTATAAAGTGAAATTCACCCACTTTGTTCACTTCTCACCCTCCCACATGACGTGGGGCATGTGACAAGGGAAATTCTATCTCACATCTGCCCACCCTCACTTCCCCAAACCCAGCCACTGGCCAAAGTGGAACACAAAATTGTTCAGATTGGTCGGAAATTGGATTGAAAGTGGTCTCGAATGGGGAGGCTGAGGCTCTCCCAATGGGGTGAGCTTTGACGGAGCGATACCATGGGGATCATAAATTGCGGACTTTTCAAATTGACTCTCATCCGAACCGACTGTGTGAACTGTATATGTGTGTTAAACAATTATGTAGGTGGCAAAATCAATCCATGCGGTTTTTCCTCTTAGATGCTCTTATCGAAAACAACCAAATTGCTAAACATTCACTGCGAATCTTCGTCTCTCTGTGAATTTTGTACGTTTAATAATTTCATACAACTCATGTGGAAAATTCTTCACAAAATCGCTGTACTTTTTCACCCTGGAGCGTGTTTATTATTATCAAAACCATGAAAGTCATCTTATAAATAAATATCCACATAAAGTTCAGTTGTTAAGAATATCGACTTACACACATTGTGTGACGTGGAGTGTGATGGAGAGAGAGAGAAAGAGCGAAAGGAGGAATGTTTGTGAAAGAGGAAATATTTTCTAACCCGTCAAATGCATTTTCCAACTCTCATGCCATTTTTTGCAGCGCAATGCAATTTCCACCTCTTGTGGAAAACATGGAGAGAATTCCTCGAGTGTGGGTGGCCATTTCAACCCTTCCGCTCTGCTCCTCATCATCTTCGTACAAACTGAATGTGAATTTCATCCAATGTATTTGTTCAGCGTGGAGAATGTGAGGAGAGGTGGCGAAAGAGAGTGAATTCTCGTCTGCCCTTAATACGTTCACACCACAAAAGCTCTCCATTTTCTACAACTACCCTCAACCACTGGCGGGGGTGTGCGCCCTTGTGGTGATCCCCCTCTGCACAGGGGGTGGCGACGGGTCGGAGATTTTCAGTTGTGGAAGGTGCCGTGTCAAACCGCAATGCTTTATACCCGCCTTGGTAACAACAGTTTGCTACTATAGTAATAATAAACTAACCCCAACTGGTTTATTGTGTACAAAATGTGCCACCTTCGGGTCCCAGTCTCTCGGAGAACCCAACCCGTGCTGTCTCGTGTTGGGGGTGAGAGTTGATTTTGTCGTGTTAAATATTGTAGTGTGTCGTTTTGCAAATTACAGTGTGTGTGCGGTGCCAGAGCTATTTGGGTGTGAGACAATCGAGACGGTGCTGTATGTGCTGGGGAGTTTATCTACATAGCTGGAATAGGGGAGTTTTCGCCCACACCAAATGGCGGAGGGCTTGAGCATACTAATAGCTGAGGGTGAACGAGTGTGAAATGACGCCAATAAATCGATTAACGATGGATATTGA